GTGGGCCAATATGTACTCATGTTTGTGGCTCAGAGGAGGGCTGCCCGGCTGTGTTTCCCTGCAGATTAAGAGAGCATCATGAAGTCAAGTATACAGGCACTATTAATAATGTGTTCGCACTGGTCTCTAAATCTGAGCCATGGGGAAAAAATGAGGTCTAACGAGTGAGAAGAAAGCCATTGTCCACCCAAACCATCTTATCTAAATCAGGACACAGGCCAGGGTCCATGGAGAGATGAACAAGCTTTTACCTCACTAGATTTCCTGTCCTTGATGTTTAAAAAAAAAGACATAAATATTGTGAGGGTGTAGAAGGCCTGATGCCCCTGGCTTTTATACTCGGCTGACTTACTGCACTGATCAAGTCCTTATCGTAACCTTAAGCATCAAACTTCTTTGGGCTTTATAGGCAAATATAAGATATATAATATAATCAAGAGGAATGATGGAATTAGAAAACCATTTTTGGACTATGTTTTGACAAGAGCTAGTCAAGTAATGGAGCTAAGTCACACTCGATATAGGCTAAAACTATTAGGGAAAGGTCAATGGAGAGGAGGGAGAGAGAGAGAGAGAGAGAAAGAGAGAGAGAGAGAGAGAGAGAGAGAGAGAGAGAGAGAGAGAGAGAGAGAGAGAGAGAGAGAGAGAGAGAGAGAGAGAAGAGAATGAACCGAAACTGGCCTTAAACTACACTCTGGGTGTCACCTTCAACTCAGTGGGAATTACAGCAGACACAGGAACAGGTTAGATGACAGTAAGCCAACAATTTTGACCATTCTGTAGGGTAACTGATTAATTTCTCCGGGTGGAGGAAGGGTAGTTGTGTTATCAAGACTTCAGAGCTTCGTAGCTGCAAAGAACCCGAGGACTTCACATCCTGACTTGAGCACAAGGACCGCGATATTGTCCTGATGTGAAGCTGTAGAAAGCAATTATTAATTTTGTTCCTTGAAATAGTGGCTGAACGGTTATAAAAATGGTTATAAATGTGCACTGAAGTATTTGGGGCAAAATGATATAATAGCTTGGGTTCTCTAGAAGCACTCCAATAAAAAATAGATGGAACATGACTGAAAAATTATGGTAATTTGTCACGCTGAATAAAGGGACTCATGGTTCCATTATACAATTGTTTCAGCTCTTATAGGTGTTCAAAATTTTTTCATAATAACAGTTAAAAACAGAGGGGTTACCAAGAGATATTGTTTCTTGCAAACACAGAGCCCGAAATATCAGTTCAGCCCACGACCGTGTGTGGTATGTGCCAGAGACTGGGGAGTCATTGGGAAGAGGTGTTTGTTTCTCTGAGATGTGAGATTCCAGGTTTATAAAGGCAAAGCTTCTTTCGATGGACTCCAACAGCCAAAGGACATTAGTATAAAGTTATATTTTTCTGATTAGGGGAGTGTGGGGAATATTATTTTAAGGTATGTTGCTTTTGTTTAGGCTGCATTTGTTTAACTCTGTGAAGCTGAGATTCTTTGCCTGTCTAAAACACTTGATGGTCTAATGAAGAACTGAACAGCCAATAGCAAGGCAGGAGCAAGGATAGGTGGGGCTGGCAGGAACATCAGGGGCCAGCCACCCAGCAAGCCATGGAGAAAGTAAAGAAAAGTATACAGAAACAGAGAAAGCTAAAAACCCAGAGGCAAAAGGTAGCTGGGATAATTTAAGAAAAGTAGGCAAGAAACAAGCAGAGCTACGGTCAGGCATAACTAAGAATAAACCTGTGTTTGTGATTTATCTGGGAGCTGGGTGGTGGACCCCCGAAAAGCCAAAATAGTAAAACATCACACAACAGAGGAGCGAGGGAAGCTACGCACTGGAAGAATCAGAGCCGCTGGCCAAGCAAAGAGGAGACGGTTCTTGTGGAACGTGGGAAAAGGCAGCAAGTCATCCAACCCAGTGAGGCTGGGTGGAACACACTGAAGTCATCCAACCCAGTGAGGCTGGGTGGAACACACTGAAGCAGAACAACTTGTGAGCGAATGCTTAGCCTGCAGACACGATGCTACAGCTGTGGACGGTCTACCCTAGTCTTCCTAGTCCAGTGTCTGCTCAGAAAATTGAGGCCACTTCTGTGTCAGAGTGACCCATGTAGCTCAGATCCTGCAGGCCACAGAGGGATGTCCACAGAGGGATATCCACACAGGGATGTCCACACAGGGATGTCCACACAGGGATGTCCACAGAGGGATGTCCCACATGGCTCAGATCCTGCAGGTCACAGAGGGATGTCCACAGAGGGATGTCCCACGTGACTCAGATCCTGTAGGCGTCCACAGAGGGTTGTCCACAGAGGGATGTCCACAGAGGGATGTCCACACAGGGATGTCCACACAGGGATGTCCACACAGGGATGTCCACACAGGGATGTCCACACAGGGATGTCCACAGAGGGATGTCCTACATGGCTCAGATCCTGCAGGTCACAGAGGGATGTCCACAGAGGAATGTCCTACATGGCTCAGATCCTGCAGATTGCTGGAGATGTTGCACTTCATCATTTGGTTTCAGACAGCACATTGGCACTGCACCCTCAACACTAATCACAACGGCAGTTACTACGGGTCTATAGTTGTAGCCCTGCATGTCGTAAGCAGCAAGCGGCTGTGTCCCCATTAAAGCGCATTCCTTCGTGAGCCCTCACTATTAGCTGTGTGACGCAGCTTATCTGATGAAGATGGCGTGTATACTGTTGACAGTAATAGCCCCCAGTGCTCACCACGCCCTGACTGCTTTCTAGGCACTGGGCTGCAGCACATACGCAGGCCTCCTCGCCCTGTCCACTCTCCGTGAGTCTGAGAAATTCCCATTTGGGAAAATCTTAGCCCATGTTCACTAAGTGAACTGACTTGCTAGTTCACTACCACAAAGCCAAGATCTCGATTTGCAATCCTCCAGCAAGTGAGCTGTAAGAATATCTTTTAAAATAGGGACCTGATTGCTCCTTTGTTTCCCTAAAATTCACCCAAATCTGAATTTTTCTCCTTCCTATTTTTTTTCTTTCTCCTGAAAAACACTTGCCCACAAATGCATCCACCAGCAAAGTTTGGAAGTAAGGATTTCTGTAATTCAGGGATCTCCCATCCATCAGAGACCACTTCATCCCGGTGTAGTTCCTGTTCCTGTCTGTCTAGGCCTGGTTCAGGCAAAAAGACAGCGGCAAACATAAGGAAAACTGACCTTAGTTGTCAGTGTGCAATACACACGCACAAACATCCATGCTCTGCTCTCTCTCTCCCTCCCTCTCTCTCCTACACACACACACACACACACACACACACACACACACACACACGCTGCTTTCATCCAGGTTACCCTGTACTCAGTCAATGCCATGAACTTTGCTGCCCCCTAGTGACAGCCCCGGAGACTATCCCTGCAGCTTCCAGAGTCACCTGCCCAACAACTTTCACCTGTTTTCCTTTCTCACTCTCCTTTGCAAATATAGGAAGATTAGACCTTATTTAAAATTGTAAAAGATGTGGTACTTTGTGTTATTACCTGGATCTGGTTGGTGCCACAGCAAACAGACACAGATCAGAGGCTTGGAGATTCAGATTATAGAGACCTAGCTACACAGTTTGCCAAATTTATGCCACTTGGTGAAGCCAAAAGTGTAACAACTAGCCTATTTTTATATCATATGCAAATACTTTCAAGATTAATTCTTTTTCAACAGAGCCATGGTTAATTCTAACTTCCTTCCCTGTGGCTATCCCCTTTTGCTTTGTACCAAGCACAGAAGCAAGGGTCCCCGTGGCCTAGTTCCCTTTGAGACCTTTGCAGATGGGTTCTGCGTGTGCTCCCAGGGAGTCACTACTCACCCCTAGTACATGTGATTATTGTACTAGTGTGGTCTGTGCAGATTCTTAGGCTAAGCCTTAACACGACTGGAATCCTTATAACACAGTCACACAGGAAGGCCACGTGAAGACCAGAAGGCAGGGCCATGCATGGAAGCAGAAACACACAGACCTCAATGAGATGTTCATGTGAAGAGGCAAGGACCCAGACACACCCCAATGGGAAGACAGGCATGTGAAAAGACAACACCGCGTGTACAACACACACACACACACACACCAGTGGGAAGTAGGTCGTGTGTAGATACCAGTACAAACTAAGGCACTCTAGGGACAGTAGAAATGGGATGGAGCGGTGAAGCATTCTCTCCTAAAAGCCTTCCAATGTTGGGAGCTACAGATCCCTGGCCCCTTGACTTTCTCTGCCTGCAGCTGCTCTGAGCAGGAGACCCTGATGGCAGGCTGATAAGTCTGCAGCTGAAAGATCCCGAGAGCTGGGCGTGGCTAAGGATCCCTAAATAAGCTTCCCCTGAGCACAATTAAGGGGCATTGGCATTCTTGTATCAAGGATGACCCGTGCCTGTGTCTCTCTGTGTGTGTTTATGTGTTTTTAAGTCTCTCAGCCTGGTTCCCAGCTTGCGTATGGTCTTGTCATGGCACGGGAGCTATTGGACCGTCAGTTTAAACAGGACAGTGCAAGACTGTTTGGGTTTCTAGCATACCAAGGTGCCTATCTTGCTGACACCTTTTGGCCTCCAGGCTGTAAGGACCGATACTTCCATGGCTGTGACCCACATACTTTGCAGTACTATTACAGTACCCCTAAGAGTATAAAGCAAAACTTGTCCAAATTTGTTTTCTATTGCAGTAATAAACTCACGACCAAAAGCAACCTGGTGTGAGAAACAGTACATCTAAGTGTATAGGTTACAGTCCACAGTGGAGCCAGGGCAGGAGCTCAAGCAGGAACCTAGAGGCAGGAACTGCAGCAGAGGCCGTGGACAGAGAGGCTCCCTGACTTGCTCCCTGGTTCTCTGTTCAGTCAGCCTTTCTATATGGTACAGGGACAACACCACCCACAGTTGGCTGGGCCCTTTTACGTCAACTAGTAATTAAGAAAATGCCAAACAGACACACCCACAGGAAGTCTGACCCGGGCCACTGAGGTTCCCTCTTCCCATGTAATTCTAGGTTTGTCCATTGAGACTACTTCATATGCTCCAATCCTACAGGCCAGAGCGATGTCCCACAATCACGAACAAGCCCATGACGAGCAGGTGAGGACACTGAAATGAACCCAGGCTTCTGGATTCTTGACCCACGATTCTTACTACGCTGCTGCTTCTCAGGACAACGTTGACACAGTGTGCTCACTTCTAGGTCATCTACTCTGAGCCAGGAAACTGCACGGCAAAATGGAAAACTACCTAAACCCGAAGGCAGCAGAGACCCAGGCGTAAGGTGTCCAAGTGGTCGGCAGTGGTGAGCAGTCAACGGCGGCTGTCCCTGTGCAAGGCCACAGACCCGTGTGGTAGAGCCCAGGCTTCCAGTTGCCCCCACAGCTGTCCCCTGAAGCTGCTCCCAGATAAACCAGGGCGTCAATACACAGGATACTGCGGCTCATTCCTCACGCATCCAGGAACCCCCAAACCTGCCTGGCCAGCTTGGCTTCTTCACTTCCATCCTTCTTACCAACTATCACCCCCACCAAAAAAGGAAGTGAGAGAGAAAATGTTTTCTGACCCTTAATGGAAAACACACACCTCTAGAGAACGTCTTTATTAGCAGACAACGCTTAATAATAAGACATACAATTAACATTTGCTCATTACATTGCTTTATTGTATTTGATGATTCTGCTCGATGCAGTCGAGGCATCTACGACATTCGTGTAAGTTGATTTTAAATTTACCACTAGAGCACAAATAAATAATAATTTACCACCAATACCCGTATACATGGTATAGAACAGCCACAGACCCTTTTCAGATCCCACGTCCGTAAACACTTTTCCAGGCAGCAGCAAGTCAGACTCCTCTGTCTCTTACACTCTGAATCCCAAAGTCGGTTTCTTTGGTTACCAATGGACAGGAGAGTTTGAAGGAAACAGCTTGCTTTGTAAATATTCCACCAACTCAAGTCTTGAGGTAAGCAGCTCCAGCTCATGATAGGGGACCTGGAGGGGAGAGCAGCCATTAAAACCTGTCACCATCCCAGGCAACTCTGCTCTTCCTCTGCCTTGGGTCTTACCCCTCCTCCAGCAGAGGGACCCTGACCCTGGAGTTCCCGGTACCTAGAGGGCAATGCTGGCACAGAGGGGCAGCTGAGCGGAAGCGTGGGCTAACTGTGCTGGGGACTGAGTACTGACGGGGAGGGACGAGAAGAGAGCCTGAGCTCAGCAGCTGGAGTACCACTAGAGCACACAAAGCCAGAGCCAGGCCTAGCTGCAGAAACAGAAAGGGCAGAGGAAGAAGGAAAGTGGAGAGGGATGGGGCAGGGGAAGAGGAGAAAAGGATGGGGAAAGAGGGAATAAAGAGCAATGGGGTCGGAACCAGAGCTGGGAGCGAGGGCTAGGGAGTAGGCCATGTGTCTGAAGGGCCGGCATGTGTGCAGACTGGATGAACGGATGGTTCTGAATGCTAAGACAGACGTCTCTAGTTTAGGTTAAAGCACTGAAGAAACTGTTTCTGCATACTGCATGGCTAGCCGTTAGAAAATGAATTTGGGAACGAGCATGGTACCATGGAAAAGCACCAGAAAGCAGGCTAGAGGGAAGTTGATAACTACTAAAGACGACGGGGACATGCTTGTCCATGTTTACTGCCACGGGGACATGCGGGGACATGCCTGTCCACGTTTACCGCCACGGGGACATGCCTATCCATGTTTACTGTAATGGGGGCATGCCTGTCCATGTTTACTGTAATGGGGACATGCCTGTCCATGTTTACCGCCACGGGGACATGCCTGTCCATGTTTACTGTAATGGGGACATGCTTGTCCATGTTTACTGTAATGGGGACATGCCTGTCCATGTTTACTGCCACGGGGACATGACTGTCCATATTTACTATAATGGGGACATGCCTGTCCATGTTTACTGTAATGGGGACATGCCTGTCCATGTTTACTGCGATCCCCCAGCAGACCTTACAAAGTTCCTATTGAGAACATAATGGTAGATGAAGACCCTGAAACCATCTTCCTTGATTTACCCACTAATCAGACAGAACCTGAAGCAAAGCTACTCCAGGAACTTAGCAATTCTAGGCAGAGTTAAGCACTGATAAGGAAAGAGACATGTACCACTTTGGAAAACACCAAGTTTTGAATATTCTAACTACAATTTGCAAGTCAAGTGATAAGTCTAAGACATAAACTAGACAGAGCGTGATGGTCTGCCTGAGTGTCCGCCCACTGACTGTTAAAGCAGGTTAAAACAGGCTGGGCCTGTAAGATGCGTGAGCAGACAGCGACAGATGGGGCTCGGGAACTGACCCTAGGCTTGCGGGGACCACTTACATCAACCGACAGAACAGCACCTAAGCTAGATGCGCACAACATGAGCTAGGGGCGTTCGGATAAGGCTGTGCACAGACAACAGGCGGCCGTCATGAGTGAACCACCATGGCCACGCCCCTGCCCCCACGCTCATCTGGGTGTTCCCAATGGTTTCTGCTCTGCTCATGGGTTGCTGCTTGCTCCATTGAAGTCTTTACAGTGTGCTATATCCGCGTACATAACTGAAAAAGCCAATCAATCGTGGACACTGCTTTTACCTGAACAACCTGGTAGCCGAGCAAGCGCAGGTGCCTTTGCTTAATGGCCTCTTTCCCAAGCAGGTACTTGCTGTCAGAGCAGAACCGCTGCGGGCCGTCAATGCACAGTGCCACCCTGCGAGAGCAAAAGAGCTATAACTCGTGAACCAGCTAAGGTACTTGTCTTTAGTTGCCAGGGATTGTTTGAACTTGTCTATTCGTGTGTCAATATTATTTTTAAATGAATCATGAGTAGATTGGCCTTTAGTCTGCGGGAAAACATTTAGTGCTATTATTGTCTGCCAAATGAAAGGATTTTTCCAAAAATGATAAGTTCAGTATTTTCCCCCTTTTTTGAAAATAAATTCTTTTCCCCCAGCATATCCTGATCAGCTTCCCTCCCCTATTCCTCAGCTGCTCCCCTCCCCCCTTTGCCTCCCACTCCCTTTCTGGTTCTCATTAGAGAGGAACAGGCTTCTAACAGATAACAACCAAACATGACAAAATAAAACACAAGATGGAGCAAAACCGACCATATCAGAGTTGGATACAGCAGCCCAACCAGAGGGAAAGAGTCCCAAGGCAGGCACCCACCTGTTCTCACAGCTGGGAGTCTCAGAAACATCCTAAGCTAAGCTAAAAGCTGCAATGGATACACAGGGAGCTGGCGCAGGCCAGTGTGGGCCCTGTGCTTGCTGCTTGGGTCTTAGGAAGCTCAGTGTTTTAATTTCCGGAATCGCTGCTGCTCATCTTGAGAAAAACATCAGTTCGCTAACTTAACTCCAACTTTAAACCGACAGCTTCTTTACCTTTTGTGGACATCCTCATCCACTGTAAATGGCAACACAAATCCATCTTCATCTAATTTAATTTCAACATCTGGCAAAAGAAAGGAAAAGTTCCTCGTGTGATACCCTCAACAACATTATCTTCCTGCGTTCCTTGTTCTGGTTTCACTTCTTCCGTATTGCCTTTCTCAGAGGGCCAGGCTGCAAAGTAATGGCCACAACCGACGGTGAGAACAGTAATTTAGTGGACCCCACAGATGAAGCAAGCCAGCTTTGAAATAAGTCTCAGTTACTCTGAAACAGAGTGGTGTTTCAAGCAATCTACAGCATGCCGAAAACCATGTCCACCCTCTCCTTCCTCGTGGAAGGCCTGAACCCTTCAGCTCAGAGGGAGAAAACCCTCTAAGTGACGCTGACACCGGCCAGCTGCAGACCTCACCTCCTTACAGGTCTGCTCTCTCCCCATGTACACAAGCACCCTGCACCCTGACAGGTGCCTCCCAAGTGTGTGCACATCCCTTCCTTCTCTTTCCGACACTACCATCCATCCATTCTGTAAACAGAGCCCCACAAAACAGACATGAGATACGTCCACAAACTACTGTCTTGTGTGTGATCGTTTTCTTTTCCTCAACAACCTGAACAACAGTCAGGGCAGAGGGACAAGGACTCCTCCATCAGCCCTGCACGAGTGAACTACAGCAGATGATGATCTAGGCCAGTGCCATCTATGTGAGCATCTAAGAGGCCATGTGTGTCTCCTGAGCACCTGAAATGTGGCTAGCATGGTATTGTGATGAGGAACCTGTGTTTAAATAGCTACATACACTAAAGGAACGGCACATAACAGATTACAACAGCAGCTACAAACATCACTGACACTATCTTACTCAGTCCGTCAGTCTCAGAGGTCTCTGTTCCTTCTCTCGTTTTGCAGATGAGGGATCAAGTTAGAAAAAGGTTAAGATCCTCTGCCCAGGACATTCTGCTACTATGTGGCTAATGTGTGAAACTCGAACTCAGAGTCTTGGCTCTGCACAACTCTGATAACCCCTCCTTCTCCTTGCCTTCGGGTGAGGGAAGGTTCCCTCCTGCATCTCACACCTCTGGCTACTAAGTCCTGTCTACGGCTTAACAAGGACAGGATGCTCTGACCAAGACCCCTGAGCTACTTACCTATGGTGTAACAATAGGGTGTCAACACTTTTGATGCAAAATACAGTCTTGATCCTAAAAGATCAATTAGCCCCATCACCACGGACTTGTAGAGGTGGAGATCCATGGGGGTCTCCAGGGAGCAGCACGGAGTGAGGAACGACTTCACTTGATACTGAGGAAGAAGTTTGGGGCCCTAAAATTCATACATGCAAACACAAGAAAGAAAATTCAAAGGTAAAGAGCAATAGTGAGCTGAAGGCTACTAGGAGAAAAGACGGACACAAAACTACGTCATATACACAGCATGTTTCTAGGACATGGGCACCGGACGGGAAAGCTGCTCCAGCTCTCAGCTTTTAAATGAGGAAAGGGCACAGAAGGCTCAGTTTAAAAGCTTCTTTGGATGTCTGGAGATGCTTCAAGGTCATAATCATTCTCAGCTACGGTTTTTGTTTGTGTGTTTTTCGAGACAGGGTTTCTCAGTGCCGGGGAGTCTGCAGTAGTGAACCTCTCTTGTTTGCCAGGGAGTCTGCGGTAATGAACCTCTCGTGTTTGATGAAATCCAGGGAGCTATGCGGTAGGACAGCCATGGGCAATGACAAGAATACAGAGATGGGTCATTTGCCCACAAGGCCATGCCCACTCAAGTCAAAGTTCTGCTGTTTGAGATGAAAATCACAGGAAATTAACCACAGGCATCCCGCCGGGCATGTCTGTATCCTCACCTTATAGGAAGCACATTCTAGGACCGACGTCAGGAAGAGCTGGGTCAGCTGCGCCAGGCTCACTCTATCCGCACACGGCTCTTCACCTGAAAAAAACCAATTGTTCAGCTTGGATTTTGGCATGCACAATGAGGGATTATGATCATAAAACAATTTCCCCTCCTAAGAGACGCACTTTTAAATGACACCGAATCATGAACCAAGGTAAACGGCACCCGAGCACATCCCAGGTTACAAGGGTTAATTTTCTAACCGCCTCACCTTGCAGCCGTTGAAGGAAAAAGGGGCTGAATATTTTTGACATAAAGTTGACGGGGTGGCACCCAATCAGCGAGCAGGAATGGAGAAGCCTCAGTAGCATTCTTGGTGGAAAACAACGAAAGTGAGCCGAGAGCACATTTTCCAGCTTCCTAAATAGAGCAGGGGCATTTGGCGGCAAATAATTCAGTTTTCCAAACGGCTCGATTAATTCGGAAATCTGACTAGGTGAGAATCTTTCTGACTGGCAAACAAAAGCCTCCGCAACGGCATCGAGGATGGGCTCGGAGCGAATCCGCTTTCTACTGCAGTACGCCATCACGGCGCTGGTGACGTCGGGGTCCAGAGAGAGGCACAGGGCAGCTATGTGCCGCTCCAGCGCCTCTGTGAAGAACCTGTCGCTGTATCCAAAATACACAAACGCTTCCAAGACCTTCCCCAGCTCCTCACTGGTAAAGCGAGGAATGTATCTCACCATGTGCTTGCCCAATTTTATAACCAGCGGAATGGCCTGAGTCTGGTCCAGGGCCACTAGGGCGGTGAGCACGTGGCTTATGGATTTAGGACTCAGGAAGGAAACTATCGAAAGGGAAAAGTTGTTTATTGTGTTTAAAAATGTCTGGTGTTTGTCCACTTTTTCAGGACAGGCCTGCAGGATTCTATAAATGGCCACGATATCCTCCGGGGCAAATGTCTCCAAATTTTTACTCTGCAGTTGACAAAGAACCAGTTCCAGGGTCTCACAGCCTGCACCCTGAAGTCTAACCAGGCTTTCCCCGAGAATACACAGAAGGCGGGCTTCCAAAAGGCCTCTTTGGAGACGACTCCGGCATTCTGCCATCAGGGTCAGCATCAGGCTACCTTGAGGATCCACAGGCAACGTAACCAGAGATTGCAGAGCCGTCACCATGGCATCATCGGTCAGACGTGAGGGGTCCCGCCCACACTGAAGGCACAGAGCTCGGAAGATGCTGTTTTCTAGTACTCCTTGCGGCAGCCTTTGCTCATAATCTCTTTCCCCGACCTCGCAAATCCTGTGTAAGGCTGCTGACGCCAAAGTGACGGGCAGAGTGTCCTGCGTGCTTAGGAAACTCAACACTTCATCGGGCGAGGTGAAGCTGTTTAGTCTCTTGCAGAGTGTCTCTTCATCCCCGCGAGCAAGACTTCGATCGGGCTGGTTCCATTCCTGTGCTTGAGAGAACCACGGCTCAGCAACTGGATGAAGGTCATTTCCGTTTCGTGAGTGGAAGTTTTTACAGTAGGAATGATGGAATCTGACCCTGAACAGCCCAGGGTGTAGGGAACAGAACCAAACGTGGAGACGATCTTTGACTATCTTTTGGACGTGATTGGCAGGATGAATTTTCAAAGCAGCCACAGCTCCAGGTATCCAAAAATCAGATATATGACAGAAGTTTCTCCGCAGGGTGATTAACGCCATGCCATCTGATTCACAACTCTGGACTTAGCATAAGAAAAAAAAAAAAAAAAAACAGGGTCAAATGTATTGAGAAAGACGATTAACATCAATGTTACAAAATTAAGAATGAGCATCCCATGACAAAGACTAAAACACAAGAATCTCGCTAATATATATAATATTGCAAGGCTTCCCTTCCTACGAGCCAGGAAATAGAAAGACCCCCCCCTCCCCACCCATTCTCCTGGCCCTGGCCTCCATATCTCATTGGCTACACCCAACAATTTCACCATAACTAGCCAGGCTACCCGCGAAGGACCAGCACACCCTTCTAGGCAGAGTCACAAAGATTTCTTTTTAATGAACTATGCCCTAAATCTAAACTTCCTGTGTCACAGGCGTACTAAGGGTGTACTAAGCATGCCCTTCTCCGGCTGCAGGGCCACACAATGTACTTGCATAAACGTTTCCTTTTCAAGGACCAAGTTCTATGGATAAAGGGGAGTCTACCAACACGCGCCTCCCTTGATAGGTAAAGTTGGCTGCTGAGGAAACAGTCCAGAGCCCCGACAATCACATCATCGTGGTTACTTGCTAAGGCTTTCAGACCCACGTGTCTCCTAACAGTCTTCAAGAGATCCTGTCTTTCTGTTTCATCAATGAACTCACTGAGTTCGCTTCATCCAGAAATTCTTCTCAGTGGAGCCCCTTTGGAGCTCGGAGGACCCACAGGGGGACCGTAGCATCCTGGGGCTGACTTCCTGGGGCCTCACCCTCCTGATCCTAAGTGTGGTCGCTGCCCAGGCTCTGCAGAAAGTCCTATCTACGGACCAGCTTACAGGAATTCAGTTCGTTTGATCGACACTTTTCCAGCTAAGAAACTGCAGCACGGGGGATCTACCGTGCCCAGTTATGCTGTAAGCGAAAGAAAGGGCTGGAATTCAAATTTTACCTCTAAACTTGGAGACTCACGTGTTGGCAGAAGGAAAAGTAGATAGATAGATAGATAGATAGATGATAGATAGATAGATAGATAGCTTTTGTTGTTGTTTTGTTATTTAAGAGAGGGGAGGAGCAGCCGGCAAAATTCAAACTAGGGGTACGAAAGGGGCAAAGGTGGGTCCTTCGCACTTGTTAAAACAATCACAGAAAAGCAAGCGGACAGGGCAACGGCAGAGGAAGGAGCCCAAGGGAGCGCGACTGGGGGACCTGAGCGGCGATCGTGGCGGGAGCGCGACTGGGGGACCTGAGCGGCGATCGTGGCGGGAGCGCGACTGGGGGACCTGAGCGGCGATCGTGGCGGGAGCGCCGGGGAAACGCTCCCCCACGGAACTTACCGAGCGGATCTGAGCCACGTCCGGACAGACGCGGAGCTTCAGGGCCCTGGAACGTCTTCACCCAGACACCGTCCCCGACCGGGAGGACACCCCGGGACAAGACAAGCGCGGCGGCACCAAGGCACCGCCCACATCCGGCGCTCAGCGATTGGCCCAGGTCCGCCGGCTTTTCCACCGGTGGTGCGTGAGGAGCATGCGCGGTCGGCTCCTGGATGCGCGTGCGCTGTGTCCCCAGGCGGAGTCCCGCGAGGGAGTCAGCGGCTGGAGGTACGCGCGGCCCGGGGGTGGCAGGGGAGCCGGGGCTCGCGCCTGCGCGCTGGGGATGGCGTCCTTGGGTCGCCGGGGTCGCCGGGGGCTGCCAGGGTGCGGTGGGAGGAGGCTGCTTCGCCAACCTTTCCTGCAACCCCGCCAGCCCCGCACGTGTCGCGTTGCGAGTCACGCAAGGGTCCTGTCAGCTCTGCGACACAGCGAATGTCACCTGTAAGTTCCTGTGTCCTGGCTCGCAGGCAGATGAGCCCCAAGAGCACACAGCTATGGTGGGCTCCTTTCCTACCAATTGACAGCCTTTCGGGGTTAGCCGCTAGATAGAATCCCACCCCCCTTTATGTTCTGTAATTTTGTTGTAGGTTATCTCCCAGATGGGGCGTGGCTTAGGAGTACCGTCCCCGAGTGCAAGTCCGTTTACACTAATTGCTGATTTATTTTTAGCGGTGGGAACTCTGATGACGGTCAGTGATTTGAATAGGATCCAGCAGGAAAGAGGAGTCTCCCAATTTTAGGGGAACGCTGTGCAATTAGGGTTTTTAAAAAGGAAGAAATAAGACCTTTGTAAGTGACACTGTGTTTGAACTTTGCTCGGGCCCTACAGCTTGCCATTCTTAATCATGCAGGTTACGAGCGAGCAGAATTGAGGTTCAGATCACTCCCATACAAGCATGCACCTCTGAAAGACGCTTGCAAGGCCCAAACGTAGCTGGACGTCGGGAGTGGATTTCTGAGCACCGCGATTAAGAGTCTCTCTTTTGTATGCTTCCTGTCTTAATTCTCTCAATGCCAAGAAACAAGTGTAAAGATTGCTGTAAAATGAATACCTGCCGGTTACCTGCTCCATTAAGTAGTATCCCCCCTCTCCCCTTGGTGGTTTTTCAGTCTCACCCTAGATGACCTGAGGTGATGAGAAGGTTTCTGTTGCTGTACGCCACACAGCGAGGACAGGCGAAGGCCATTGCAGAAGAGATAAGTGAGCAGGCTGTGTCGCGTGGGTTTGCTGCAGATCTTCACTGTGTGAGTGAGTCGGGAAAGGTAAGGGCAGCTGTGCCTGCGGATTTTCCTGTGCTTTGTGCTGTGAGATGAAGCTCTGTGTGCATTCCTCTCCATGTTTTTGTTAAGGGGGCTCACCCAGGCCGGCCTTGGATTTACACTGTAGCCAAGGCTAAACTTGAACTTGGTAACATTCTACCAACTAGCTGAGATTAAACCTAGATGTATACCTGTCTATGAGGTTGAAAAAAATCTGAAACAGATAGATACTATCTTAAACCTGGATGTAAACATTTGGATTAGCTTAGAAAATGTTAGAAACTGAAACAGATACTTGCTGCCTGTAAATGGTAACAGTGTATGCTACATTCATCAGCAAACTTGAACTAAAGCGGCAGTGTCCTTTGCATCTGGTCACAGGACTGGTCACTAGTATTTATTGCAATAACTCAGCATGAAGGAAGACAGGAAACTAGGCTGGCTGTTTCTGTTTGCTTTGTCTTGCTCTTGCTGGTGTGTTAAATCACAAATTCATGCAATCCTGCATCCTGATTTGATCTCCCTGTTTTGTAGTATGACCTGAAAACAGAAACTGCTCCTCTCGTAATGGTCGTATCTACCACAGGAACTGGAGATCCACCCGACACAGCCCTCAAGTTTGTTAAAGAAATAAACGACAAGACGCTACCCACAGACTTCTTTGCTCACCTGCGGTATGGATTATTGGGTAATGAACTGTGCTTTTTTTTTTTTTAGTATTTGCAATTATTGCTTTGATATAGGAATATATCTTTCAAAACCATGAAATATAATTGCATGTGTCTTTTATTTTTACATAAGTAGTATATCTATATAAAATTTAGACATGTCAATGATAGTCTAACTTATACTCCAAAGCAATGTTCTGATCCTCCCCCCCTATCCCCCGTCCTGGGTGTATCTGGGCATAGAACCCAGGGCCTCACACCCTAGCAGAGTTTACACCCTAGCAGAGCATGTTACCACTCAGCTACAGCTACAGCTACACCCCCAGCACTCTGCAGAACCTCTCCAGTAGCCATGGAATATTTTCAGAATATTAGTGTCTAGGCCTCACTGCAAACCTAAGGTAGAATTCTTGAAGGAGCAAACAGTTAGGATAGTCAGTTGTTTAAGATTAACAGCAGGTCTCTAAAACCGAGTATGTTCCCTAGGAACGTAACTTCAGAACTGCAGTTTTCAGTCCCTAGTACGGTGGAACCAGCTGGAGAGTCTTAATTAATAAAATAATTCCTTTGTATTCCGTTGGCCTGCTAGAAGTGACCCTGCGGTTCCGAGGTGAGACTCTGTTCTCTGTAGTTAGTAGCTCTTTGCCAGTGTTCAAATCCATCACATGTTAAGAAAACGGTCTAGAGCTTCGTAAAGCATAATTTGAACAGGTTATAGTAAGGATCAGAAGGGCCAGCATAGGGCCAGCAGGTTCAACAGCTCACCACCAAGCATGACGGCCTGATTTCAAAGCCAATTGGCCTGTCTCTTCAGATTCCTGCATTGTTACATTAACTCATGGAAGCAGAAATGTTGAGTATGTGTATTTCCTGGACCGGGTGCCAGTTTGTCTTGTTGCTGTCTGGTGCTGTCATGATGTACAGTGGAAGAACACTGCATGCATGGCATTGCTGAAGAAAATAAGGAAATGTGGATCTATACATTGTTTCTTCTGTATGTGTCAGAGTACAGGATAACATATAGACACTTTATTTCTCTGTTACATTGCTGAGCCTTTGTATGCACTGAGTGTCTATTTGGGTTCTCTAGGTTTGGGTGACTCGGAATACACATACTTCTGCAACGGAGGGAAAGTGATCGATAAACGACTTCAGGAGCTTGGAGCCCAGCATTTCTACGACACTGGACATGCCGATGACTGTGTAGGGTAAGAACAGTGCGTGTCTGTCTCCAGTACACTTTCAGATAGTGGAAGTTGGCGAGCTTATAGATGTTTGGCTCGGGTTAGCACTGACGGTCGTCTGAGAGCCTCGTTATATCTCATCGTTTAGCCGGAACCCAGGAAGCTCAGATGAGTGGAGCCTGATTGGCCTGTGTTGTCACATCCCGCATCCCCGCCTCAACCCTCGGTATCTGTTAATGGAAAGAGGGAAGCGTCCGGCAGGTCACATGTGTCTCAGAGTATGGAAGTATTTAAGAGTGAGCATTTTTCTGGCAGCGTAGGTATTGCCTGTATGTCTTTTCTTTGCCCTGCTCACAGGGGCCCTGTTCGCATCCCCTTTAGTGGAAGGAGCCCTCAGGCCGAGCATCACTGACTACGGCATGTCTTGGCTGTCTCTTACCGTCTTAATGGAGTGCACTGTTACCCTTTTTTATTTTTGGAGCTCAGTATTTGAGCCTGATGCTGTCTTTCAGTTGAGATGAAAAGTGATCATTTCATTTCCTTCAGTGTCTGCCTCACACTGTCTTGTCCACACCCTCTCCTTAGCCACCTGTTCGTAGTATGTCAGGAACACTGTGGTCGTGTTGTGCTTTGTTAGTCCTAACTGAACCTCTGCAAGTTAGGAGTGAGTGATTCCACTTTCCGAAAGAAAGAGAGGGATGGGGGGAGAAGGAAGAAATTCTTTTCCTGAGATTAACCTCTCTGGAAATCTAAAGGGGGGGGGGGGGGGGAGAGCACACATTTTAAAGGACACGTTCATAGATTGGTAGATGGGGAGGGAACTTATTTAGTTAGACATTTAGTCTTAATTTAGAATGTTTTTTTTGTTGATGTCTATAGGAGAAAGATCAATAAATTTGATAGACAAAGTGAGGTGGTACCTTCGACTGGTATAATGACCGTTTATAACACAGTGTTGCTAAAGCTCTGTTTATGTGATCAGGTTTGAACACACCTGTAAAGTGTTAGCTCCCTGGAATGAAGACAGCCAGCTCTGAGGGCCGTTAGATTCCCATTATCTGGGCCAAATAGCTTCATCTCTCAGCTCGTTTGCTTTGTATGCATGTTCAGTTGTACAGTGCTAATCAGGGCAATGCTGTGCTTTTGAAAATCGTCGTTTGTGTATTTATTGAGTAGTCTCTTTAGCAGCTGCGTGCAGTACTCGGCCGAGCGGACAGCCTCTTCTTATTCCACTCTTGTGCTCAAATGCACAACTTAGGCCTTTGGTTTTTCCCCTGTGTCACTTACAGTTTAGAGCTCGTGGTAGAGCCGTGGATTGCCGGGCTCTGGGCTGCCCTCACAAAGCTCTTTAAGACGCTCGGAGAACAAGAGATGAGCGGTGCGCCCCCACGGCCAGCAGACACCCCCTCGGACACTGCTGTGGGGCCCGAGTTGCTACGTGTCCAGTCGCAAGTTGAACATCTGAGATTAGAGGATGCGGACAAAAAGGACCCTGAGGTTTGGGAACACAACGAAGCAAACAGGAGTCAGACGAGTGCTTTGATCGAAGACTTTGAGTCCTCGCTCGCCCGCTCGGTTCCCCCCCTCTCACACACCTCTCTGAGTATTCCAGCTTTGCCCCCTGAGTATTTGGAGGTGCATCTTCAGGAGTCGCCTGGCCAGGTGAGAGATTTACTTTTGATGCCCCTCACTGTGAGTTCTTGTTTGTGACATCAGGACAGGGGTCCGAGACTCGCGGACCGAGTGCAGCATCCGCAGCGGCCATGCCATTCTTCTGAGCGCCATCTGCAGCTGCTTCTGTGAGGAGTGCTCACCAGAGGCCTGCAGAGAAAGCTAGGCCCCTCTCTGTCACAAGGGGCTTGATGTTGCAGAAGCCTTATTTCCATCCCTGACGTAGCCTTGCATGGCGCCGCACTCGCTCTGTCTTCGCTTTCAGTGGCTGAGTCCTCAGCCTGCTCCCGTCACCGCTCA